CACGCAGCAATTTTTGCGTGAACCATTTGTGATTCATGTCACATGAATGGATATCTCTACATCATCTCAGACCGAAAGTTTTGGCTATTACTCAATGAGTAGCAGTCACTCAGTACAGTTAGGCGGTCTGAACAAAAGTCTGCAGTGGGTACATTGTGGTCGATACTGACATTGTGGGTTGATATCATGGTTGATATCTCCTCGAACTCCGACACCCTTGGGACATCTGGACTCACGCAGGTTCTCGACTCGTAATTCTCGAGGAATTACTCAAGTAAGGACATCAGTTCTCACACAGTGCTGCATCAAGCTCTCCCTGTTAGAGGACCCGTGTTATAGATAGTGACTACTTGGGCATGATACCTCAGACGAAAGCATTCAAGTAGGCGGTGTTCCCAGCCACTTCCCGTATCATTGGTCTACACTACTTGATGGAGCATTGGGAGACAGTGTCTCCGAGACACCGCTTGGACACCCTACCGATATCCACTCATGAACTAGTGTCGGGAGCGGAGACGATTACACCATCTCCGAGCGACATCTTGTCGTCAGCAAGATCTTTGCTTACCTAGCCTCTTACCCGTCTTTATCGGGATCATCTCGGAGCTTCGAGGCCCAATATCATCAACATCCATGATGTGCACACATACAAACTTGTCAAGCTACAGATTTGATATGCATTCGCGGACAAGCATCATAGGATATGACCAACAGCAAGTCGCACCCTACCAGTCGCAGGACCATCAATCACCTGTATAATTTTCTCTGTGCGGTCAAGTATGTTCGAATCCTACTGGCCATCAAACTAGTGAGCATAGAGGAGACAGATAGCTAAAGGGTTGAGTCCCTCGTGAATCCCACGAGCATACGTGCAGCATGGAGGGCACAGGTGATCATCGACAGTTCATCGTTATTGTGATTCTCATAAAACATGAGTTCCATCATGATGTTCGTTATCCGCCTGGTTATCGCACTCCAGATGTGCCAGCTCGCTCTTGGACAAGCCAAGCCCAACGGAAGATACTGTACCGACATCCCTTTCGGTTCTCTCTCTCTGACATTCCGCGGGGATGTAGTCGACTTCGAAGGAAGTTTCCTCTTCAGCAGTGGATCTGCTCAAGGTTTACCTTACGAACTTCTGGAGGGTGGCACCGTTATCAAAGCACCCATCAACGACCCTAGATTCCGCAAGGCATTCGAGGACCTCGGAGCTCCCGTCCCCATCTCCGACTTGGAGTTTATGGATTTCGTTAATGATGAGATCACCGCTACTGTAAACTCACAAAGCGTCACTCTCACCAAAGGGAAGTGTTGAATTGGGTACATCATGTACCGTACATAACTATCATCTTGTCATTATGATGAAAATACATATGTCTTACTATTTCAGTCCGCTCTCTTGATGATGTCTTACATCACTTAGCGATAATCTCTTGTATGTCTTCCGACCCTTTGTGGATGTCATTGGTTCTCGGTAGTAAGGTCGTAGTAACAAATCTGTTAGAAGAAGGGTTTCATAAAGGTAGACGCAGATGTTGTTGATGTTGTGAACAAGGTAAGGGAACTGGATGTGTTAAAGATATACCTCACAAGCTCATCGAGAATGGCACCATTGTCCAACCGTTCCTCGCCGACCCCTAGTTCTTAAGGCCCTGAGAATACATGAACCCTCATTCCCTCACCTCGGACCTGGAACGTCTGGGGTCAGACCCCAGGGGTCTCCAGACTGTGGATCAGTGTTAGACCACCAAAGTCGTCTAGAGAATATCGCAGTTCTCAGTCGCATCGTTCTCATGATGAGAATCTCATCCCGAATGAGCCATCCGTTGTATCGTGCACATCTCTATCCCGGACCAGACTGCCATCTGGTGACAGTAATAAATCTTTTCCAGTTTTACAATTAGACTATCAGAGCGAAGGTCCACCATTCTCACCACGTCACCTGGATGCATCCAACCGTCCTCAACTGTTGAGGCTCGACGTTATGTTACATATTACACCAAAAGTCACCATCTGCGGTGCACCATCCAACAACAAAGGAGCTCGTCGATGGGTTCACTGTAAAAGAACCCGGAAGCTTGACACTCTACAGGTAGTCATATCCGTACAAAACCTGTGCATAGGTAGTCCCCTTCGGAATCAGCAGTTCTTCACAGTCGCTCTTCAATTCACTATCTCTAATTATTAGAGAACGTGCATCTTAGACATATTTGAGTCTAATATATCTAAGATGCACGTTCTCTGTAGCAACACCAAACACTTGGACAATCTCCAAACCGACAGGACTTGAGAGAGTTGTTGACGGGTTCTCCACCATGTTGACCATTAGGGAGCATGTGCATGACTATCGCTCTAGAAGGGAAGAATAAGGGTCAAGGCTCACGAAGCAGATAAATCCATGAACACTCCGTATTCGAGCATAATTAGGTAAGCACGCAAGAGACGCTCTTGAAAAGAGCAAGCGACCAACGGTATTGGCGTGAGGGTATTGGTCAACGGGAACTCAAGGCGATGATGAATGCAATGTCGAGATTCTACCAACACCCTACTCATGAGACCATCAACTAGCTCCAAGGCTTGGAGTCCAGGCTAACCCTAAGATTCTTTACTTGTGCACTCTACACAATATAGCTTCACCATCATTGTGATGGTGATGATATCACATCACCCTTTTCGGTTGCATTCACTCGAACCCGCGACATGTACTACGTGCTCAAGCGCAGATTTGTATCACAACAACGCTGGCGAATCCATGGCACATGATCACAACAAAATGACACTAACCTGCAATAGAAGCAGAACAAAAGGAGTCAACTGCTATGATCCTGGCCGCTGCCAAGGGCGGCAGTACTACTCAAACGTGAGGTCAGCGAGCCAAGCCATCTCCTGCTCCATTCACTTCCCGTACTTGACAAACCTTTAGTGGACACGGTCCGAGCACTCTCGGATTTTTTAGAGGGTCGCTTCGAAGGCGACATGGTATCGTCAGCATCATCGACCTCATCATCAGATATCTCCCAGTCGTCATCAATCTCAGCATCATTTCCTCCATGGTTCTTTGCAGAAGATTCATGTTGTCTCTCTCCAGGAGACCGAGAAGGGCTCGAACTAGCCGCTGGTGAACCACGATTCAGCGTCCTCTTGCGGCTGCTGATAATTCCGATAGATGACTTGGAATCGTCCGGAGCATACTCCTCGCCGGAAGTCTCGCTCTCCCCTTCCTTGGTCTGCATAATTATTTGCCCTACATCATGAAATAGATCGTGGAATGCACCCGCTGCAGTATATTCCGTTTGCGTTGACCTGAGGTCAGAAACTATTAGTATAATGAACTTGACTTGAAATATTCTCTCACATATTCATCGCAAGATGCTTAGTAGGTCCCTTATAAAGGTAAGCTGATAGCTTGGGCCACAAAACGCCATCTTCGGGGTCGTCCTCCGAGAGCTCCGTCTGGGTGTTTTTGGGAACACCAATGGTAGCACGTCGGCCACATCTAACACGAATCTAGGGTCGTTTATGGGAACGCAGGCATTGCAGCACTCACGCTGTGCAGAATCTCTTGTCAGGCTTGGATGGAGAGGCTTCCCGATCGACTGCTATACCCAAGTCAGCTGAACGTATGAGGGATTTTATAGGTCGATCAGACTCGCTGAAGCTACCTTCCTTCTCTCCGAGGAACTCCCCGACCTCCACTGCGACCTCATGAGCCAAGCCTTGAGCAAAAGCAGCGACCGAGCGGTCGGTTTGAACACCTTTGGGATGGCCCCTAGGAGACGTCCTGAGAAATCTCGCACTAGCATGAGAAATGGGCGCAAAGTTCTGGGGATTCGAAAGGATACATTTACTGATGCTGAGACATGCCGTGACCAGAAGCTCGCACAATAAGGTTTGAAGACGACGTAGTCAAAGGCATCAGTCGATGACCGCACGCATTTTCCATCGTAGTAAAGGTTCAGTAGAGATAATATCATGATAACAGCAGAGTGCAATTGGAGAGAACTGTGAACGTCTCACTGTGTCGCAGCTGGTGCTATTGAAGTCTTCTGTGGCACCTCTCCTCGGTCACTCTGAGCTTCGCTGGGCTGCCCATGTCTATGCAGTAGGATACTTCAATACATGTCACACTGGGATAGATAGTAGCTTACTGAAGCGATTCGGGAGTAGCCTTGGCGAAATTTCTACTGGTCCCGTCCGCGGACAGTTTTGCAGGAGCCGCAGTAGAAGATACAGGCATTCTAACACACAACACGTCGAGTTTGGGAGGGACGTCCACTGAGGTATTGCTCTGAATGTCTCCTATTTTCGCGTGTATCAACAGCGCCTTTGAGCTCATCCAATCGCACTAGTATGGACTCGTACTCTTCTGTCCTCTGCTTCAGCCTACACAACGTCACAACACGGGGCGAGCAAATACGAGTTGCGAGTTCACTTGTGCTGAAGCTGTGCAATGGCTTGCCGATAGTGGCTGATACAACTTCTGGCGACATCCCGTTTCAGAAGCTCTTGGTTGAGTCGACTGTGAAAGCATTGACTCCTCAGTGATTCGTCTCACTAAGCTCACCTCTCAAGACCTTGACAACGTTCACATTGAGAGTCACTCACGTGAATGCCAGTTATTCCAATTAGTTCTACTTTCCCTGCCGAGGGAGACGAAATGGACATACGAGGGTTACACACAACATCCCTGGCCGGCGTTCTATCTTCATCGTCCCAAGTAAGTGGACCACACGAACGTGATAGTAATTGCAGAGAGAACTAGCATTGGAGAATCGAACTTGAGACCTATCGGTGCAGAAACTGGGTTCGAGGAGTCACCGCTTTCTCGTTCGCTACTGACTCGATGACTGGCACTGAGCATTCTTGAGGTGCACGAGAACAGAAGTTCGATCATGTGTCCTGCGAGGGCGATAGTAAGATCTATTCCCGGCAGAGGTGTTCAACCATTTCTCCTGAATTTTTCCTTGACTAGAGCCGTACACGTCCAGTGTAGGTAATATAGCAGTTGTTTCGGTATCTACGTTTTGGTCGAGTGGGATTGTCTGACTCCCGGCTCTCAAAAAATACCATGCTGAAATGAACAGTGTTTAAGCGCACACCGCAAGTATCAAACTCATGACCTCATCCACGTATATCTAGCCATTTACAATCTCGGGGCTGCACTCATGGGCATTCTCTCTTCGCATCACGCCGTGTCGTGCGCAATCTGCCAGACGAGCGCTAGACATGGCGCTGTTGCCGGCAATGCCGACTCGGCATTAACTTTTGTGCGCCCCGAAATTACTCGCCCCGCCCAGAAGAATCTCTTCGTGCCGGTGTAATACAATCCGGCAATCGCAACTTTTTGCTAATGTTGCGGGTTTGCCAAATGCTATAATTCCTGACAGTCTCACTTTTTTGCTCTTTTGTATGTGCTGCTTTCTCAGTTACAAAGTAGCAACCACATTTACAACCTAGCAATTTCTGGTATAGGTTTTAGCAACCAAATGTTGAAAGTAGCAAATTCGAAAGTGTTTTCCAGCAAGGCGCCCTTTTTTGCTCTTTTTTTGCCGCATTGTATATTACTCCGGAATGTTTTACATTCTGGCACTTTTGCCCACGTGTGCTTCGCCCGCACATTTTCGTTATTCTGGCAAGTTGTGCTCATTTGCTGTTTAATATGCTTCGCATTGTAATTATATAATCTGGCACCTTTTAAGGTTTGCTCTTGTGTGATGTTCCTGTATGAAATATACAAATTGGCAGTTGCCGGTATGTGACAACGCTGCGCTACTTTTATGTTTCGGCTATTTGCTCTCTTGTAACTTACGCCCTGCGGGAATATGTACTAGCGTTTTGCTTATTCGTTCAGACTCCGTCTCTGTTAGCGTTATTAGCAAACTTGCCCTTTTGCATTATTCGTACAAGTAATATACAATCGAGCAAACATAGTTATGGGATAGCATTTCTCGTTCGATTACGGTATTGCGTCTTATATCCATTTTGGTGCATGTTCATGCCCTGTGCACTTACTAAGTATCTATCAGAGGTGTCACACCTCGTGTCTCACTTCAAGTGAGTCACTTAGTATCGGGTCAAAGCGTGATAGCACTCTAGTGAGATATATCATTCACTCCGAAGACAGCGCGAGTTATGGTCAATGCTGAATACCAAACACATGATTTCTCTTGCACGTCGCGATTGAATCAGATGAGATAACAGTTAAATTGAGT